AAACTTTTGTTTGGGTACAGTGTTGCATGACCGCACAATTTTCATTCAAAGTGCGACAGCACTGAAAGCTGAAAATTGGCCTTGGCAGGAAGGGGGTAAAAGTGCCCGGTAGGCAAGTGGTTAATATGCTGCACATGGGAAGTGGATTCCCATCAATAGTTAAGATCAGGGGCGGACTGACAACTCATGGGGCCCCCGGGCAATAGGGGATCATGGGGCCCCTGTGTCCTTGCGCAAACTCAAAAAAGCCTATGAAAAAGGTACCAGGGGCATCTCATGGGGCCCCCTACTGACCCTGGGCCCTCGGGCAGTGCCCGAGTTTCCAAATGATCAGTCCGCCCCTAGTTAAGATACATTTATAACTTATGATCATAAATTATCAATCGCTTCTCATAATCTGGACGATTGAAATACAATCGTAATCATGAACAAAATATCTCAGTGCTGCCCATCAATCCAAAATGGTTGGTAATTTTCTGCAAAGGCTGATCAACTCAGTTTTATTGAAACCGATCTAAAGAAAGTCTAAATTCATCAGAAGGGAAGTTATGGATATTCGATTGTTTGCAGATTCAGTCATTTGGATATAGTAGAGAGGGATTAGAACACCTGCCAAGTTTTTATTGTTGCCTGTGTCCCTGTTATGAAAATCCACCCTCTCCAATCCAAAATTTCATAAATTCCAAATTTTGCGTTGTCACCAGAAAAGGAAGAGAGGGGAAATCTTCCATTGGGGACACTAGTTCTGCAGACCTGGTGGCAACCAGGGATATCCTCTATTTGAAGGGATTTCCTCTCACTTCCTGTTCTGCCTATGGAAAAGGAAGTGAAGAGAAGTCTCCCCAACCCTCCATTACGCTATCCAAAATGAAAAAAAAAAAGTTTTGCCTTTATTTCTACTTTATTGCTCAATTCACACAGGCATCCAGTGGGCAGTAAAAAACAGCCATGCTTATACCACCCCTGGCTGCATCTATAAGTGGACATGGTGCTGCTTGGGAGAATACACATACATGCATCATGCTGCATTGATTTTAAGGCCTCATGCACACAGGGCGTTTTTGCAGCCACTTTTAGGGGTGTCAGGCTTTTTTACTGCTACCAAACGGCCCTCCGTGTTATCCTATGTGTCCATGCACACATAGACTTTTAGAAGCTTTTAGTAGCAGTAGCGCTTACCAGCAGAAATAAAAACCCCAGGGCCAGTGTGTCCAGGAGCAGCAGAGTTTTGGCAGAAAAAAGTTTGATGCGTAAAAACGCAGCTAAATGCATGTTAACGCTAGGAGGGTTAAACGCTTGAGCATTTAATGATTTTAATGGCCAGAATAAATTATTATCACCCAAGTGCTCAACACTTGGGTGATAGACACTTTGACAAACGTCAGGCGTTTATTTCTGCCAAAACGCTGCTGCCAAGAGGAGGAACGTCCGGAGTGCATGAGGCCTAATGGTGAATAAGCAAGCCAAATCAGCAGTAAAAAGAAAGACAAAGGAAAACAGGCATCAGAAGGCAGCCATATTGCCTCCTGAATGCCTGAAAACCTTCTTTCACTGTCCTCAGAAAAGTGATCCACTGCAGATCATCTTTCAGGGGGTGGTAAACACTGCGGACAGTGTGAAAGGAGCCTAACCCACCTAAAACAAAAAAAATGCACTAGAGCTGTAAGAAAAAAATAGAAGTGATCTTATTAGGAATGTGCCAGTACAAGGCTGCAGAGCTAATGGAAAAGAAGCCATGGAAGGGAAAGGATGTTTGTAGTGTTCTGAAAATGTGCACTACATGTACTGCTTTCCTTTGTATTTTGTCATGTAGAAGTGGCTCCAGATGCCTTTTATCAAGTCCTGGAGGGCTGATCTCGCCTCTGATGTGAAGTGCACTCAGTGAATAGTAATCATCATTCATTCATAAAAAATGACAGCCTCCATAGAACTGCAATAGAGCCTGTGTGTGCAGTGAGCGCGGTGTGCAGTAGATGGCGCTGTGTCCCGCACTCCACTTCCTCTCCTCATTGCTGTGTGTACACATCCTGGTGTGGCCGGAAGTAGGAAGAGGAGTCGGTTGGTTGGTTTGTTGCTGAGCTCCTGTGCAGACGGTAGGTACTTCCAGAACTGTTCTCAGCGGGTTATAGACACAGGAGCAGACAGACGCGGGGCTATGCTGTTATTATGGGATAGCATGAACTCCTCGAGCCTGTCCTGTACACACAGAGGACACACAGCTGACTTCTCTGCACACACCATGCACTCTACATAAGATTCATCCAAAGCAGCTTCATTCTAATGCAGAACAACTGCACCCTGTTCACACCAGGATACTGCACTAAGGTGGGTTCTGGTGAGGTTGGAAAAATGCAGACCAGTTGCAGTGGGTAGCCTTGAGCCGGGGGTTCACACTGATGCGATGCGGCACATTGCATGTGATTCACACAGGAACCGCACCATATTCCTGTGCAAAACACATGCGATTTCTGTGCGGTAAAAAAAAAAAAAAAAATCTTCATCACCTCCCACAAGTAGTACAGTATCACCATGTTGACACTGTACTGTTAGGGTGACAGTATGTAAAAAAAATAAATAAATAATAATATAAAAATGTAAACTTTTTTTTTAAAAAGTATATTTTTTTATATTTTGTGCGCTATAAACCAAAAAAAAAAACCAACAATTTTAAAGAAAAACAATATTTTTTGCTATAAAACATATCCAGTAAAAAAATAAAATTTCTTCATAAATTTAGGCCAAAATGTATTCTGCTACATGTCTTTGCTAAAAAAAAAAATTCCCAACGTGTGTAAATTAATTTGTTTATATGAAAGTTATAGTGTTTACAAATGTCGGGATAGATACTGGATTTTTTTTATACTGGTAATGGCAGCGATCAACGACTTATAGTGGGAATGCGGGACTGCAGCGGGCATTCTGACATTGGTGGGGAACTAACTGCCAGTGACTAATACAGTGATCAGTGCTAATAAAAAGTACAGACACTGTACTAATGACACTGGGCAGGAAGGGGTTAACATCTGGGGCGATCAAAGGATTAACTGTGTGCTGTGTGTGTTTTACTAGGGAAACCTGCTGCTGTGTATTTCTGTGCTGTGATACTCCTCTGTCTGTCTCTATGAACACATTGATTTCTTTCCCAGAGAAAGAACAGTGCTTCTGCCATAACTCACAAGAGCCCACACTATATGTAGGGAAAAGGACTCTTTGGAGATGTAGTTCTGGGGGTTTGCCTACATTAATAGAAACTTAGCTGCCAGCAGCTACCCCTAAAAGAATTTTGCAAGCTTAGTGATGCTGTCACAGAAAATAATAAAAACTGTTTCCCAGTACAGAAACAAGTTAAAGGCAAAAATAAGACTGGGACGTGCTCTTTGGGAAGAGAGGGGTCTGGAATTAAATTTGGGTAATGCTTGAACCCTTTAAAACCAGTTTGTTCCAGGGAGTTTTATGAAAGACACATCTTTCTCTCGACTTTTTGAAAGGTGACTCTAAAGGTTAGCTTACATTAAATGCAATTCAGTGCGTTTTATTTCTGCACCAAAAATGCATGCACAGTGTTTTCCATGTATTCCAATGGCCCTAGTTCACACCAGTGCAGTCAGTTTCAGGTGCAGCAAAAAGTAGAACATGCTGCATTTTTTTCTGAACAAAGGATTGTACTGGAACATAGCAAACTGCATCAAAACTGCACCGGAATGGAGTGTGGTGTGAACTGTAAGCAAAAATGCATCTGGAGTGCGTTTTTGTGGTGTGAACTGGCCCCAAAATGGACCTGTTAGCAATTTGTAAGTGCAAATGAAAACTTTGTAAGCAAGAACGTATTTATCTTTCCTCCTGCTGAATGCTTCTCCAGCCAAGAGGAAAAGCTGCAATTTCTTTTAAAATAGATACTTTTAGGAGTATTGATCTCCTATCCTCCTTCAACCCGCAATGCACAATGGTTCCTCCTGCCTTCCCTTACATCACTGCAGGATAGTGATATGGATGTTGGCAGGAGGAACCAGTGAACACTGCAGGACACAAAGGAGATCGACAATCTCAGAAATTATTACTTTCAGACTTCAGTCACCAATTCTTGATTGCAGTGGCATTCAATGGTGTGGGAGGCATGAAAGGTAAATATTTACAGAATGTTTTCCAGGGGTAAATATTTAGTTGCATTTACAAATTTCTGACAGGGTTACCTTTAAGAGAGAAGCCATGGTATGTAAATAACAAAAATAATAGTGAGGCAAAAGGAAAAAAAATAAAATGAATATTGTAGGTATACTCCATTTATTACTGAAAATGTATAGTGTTCACCTTTGCAGGAAAAATGTAAAGGTGAAGTAGCACAGTACAGCCTTCCCACCTCCCGGTCCCCGTGGTACTACTTCCGGTGATCCTGAGCTGTCAGGGCTCCCACAGTCAGTCCAACAGTTTGGAGATTTGAAATGCCTGCTTTTCTCCCTCCTCACTGTGCAGCACTTCCAGGACTGATCAGATGGATTCACTATGGCGGTGCTGACCAATCAGAATCGATCTGGTCTATGTTGGAAGCGCTGCACAGTGAAGAGTGAGAAGAGCTGGGATTTCAGATCCCCTGACCACTGGACCAGCTGCAGAAGCTCTGACAGCTCAGAATCGCCAAAGGTATTGTAAGAACCGTAGAGAAAGGGAGGCTGTATCTGTTTAACACTTTAAAAGTGAATCTTGCTGTAAAGGGCAACGATTACATTTTAGTATGCAGTGGATGGAAAAAGGTGAATTGTCCTATGTGTTGTCTGGCGTCTAATCACAAGATTTTACAATCTCTGGAACATGCTAATAGAACCTGCTCACTGCCATAGAGTGAAAATGGGATTGGGAATGTACAGCCTTGGTTGGGCTCAGTACTCTGTAAAGTGGTGTGAATATAGTGCTGAGATTTTTGCTACTCTTTGAAAGCATTTTTTTTACACTGAAGTATATAATATTCTGCTTTTCTTTGCTTGTGTCTATGTAGAACTCCAGTGATGGGGAAAAGCTGTAAGGTGGTGTTATGCGGTCAGCATTCAGTAGGTAAAACTTCCATTTTGGAGCAGCTGTTGTATGGAAACCATGTGGTAGGTAAGTTGAATGAAGTGTAAAATATATTTAATATATACTTAAAGGGTAAGTTGTAAGCTCACCATTGCACAAAAAATGAAACCGTGAACTAACCTCAAATATTCTGCAACCTCTCTGGACTCTGCTTCACATAGTGGCTGTGACACCCCATGCTGCTGGTGTTGCAGTTTGTATACCATACATCGCAGTACACAGTCCTGGAGTGATTATTTATCACATCGCAATGGTAAAAGGTCATTTGTCAGCGTGCTTCTTTCCTTCTGGGACACCTTACAAGAAGAAGCAGCACTTCTCATTGTTCAGCACGGTCGGCAAGCATTATGATACTTAATCTGGGCTGTGTATTACAATGTACACCGGCAGATGGAGCATCACGGCCGCTATGTGCAGTGGGGTCCAGAGAGGTGGCCAAGGTAACTGGAGTTAGTTTACCTTTCCATTTTATTTTTTGTGAAAAGTTGAACTTACCCTGTAGGGGCTCATTCACACAAGCGCTTTTGAAAACTGTATGCGGGCTTACTCCCCTACTTGTGTAAACCCATGTATGCATATAGGTATACATCCCTGGAATGTGTTAATAGTTTTGTATATATTATTTTTAATTTTAGTCATTTTATTTTCTTAATGTGGGTGAATATGAGATGAGAATGAGAGTTGTGAGGGCTTAGGAGAGTTACACTCCTGGAAGTAGAAATCTACTAATTTACTAATTAGAATAGTTTTCAGCAGTGCAGGTTGCAGGAGAGGTATTCAGTCTCTTCTTTACAGGTAAAAGCTGATTGGCCAACCTGCCAGCAGGTTGTTATTGGCTGCTTCACCTTACATGACACCCTGTCTAGCCTTCAGCAGCATTCTGATTTTCTAATTCCAGGATATAATATGCATATCTGTCTGAAGCTGTGGCTAGCATTGACAGAATAGCACAGGAAGCAGGGCTGCATAGAGGAGACTGGTAGCAGAATCACCAGGTATTTAGACTTTAATAGGTTTTGTTGAAGTGTTCAGGTGTATATGGAGGAACTGATTCAAGGAACTTTACTGCATATGTAGGGTTTACATATACCTTAATTTGGGATATTAGGTCCGTGGCCAGGTTAGTTAATCATTTTGCATTTTTTATAGCCAGCAGTTGATCTATTTTTCTTTTGCACAGAAACTGCTTGCCTGTCTGTTGCAAACAGCCTTTTGTTTACAGAACTCCATAGCTTCTGTGCAAAAGCGCCATGAAATTTCCCTGCAGCCACGTTTTTTAAAATGGTGCAAGCACCTTATTTTGTAGGAAGTGCAGGCACAGCAGCCTAGTCAAATGAATGTGCTGCCATGCGCACGCATGTGGGACACAAACCCGCACAAGTGTGAACCTAGAGTTATAGAGGATCCACTAGAGCAGCATGACCTGTTTGCTTGGCTTTCTTATATCAAATGGGACACAGATTGAACTGGGAATACTGATGAGAATCTCTTGCATGTTGCAAATCTTTCATAGCATTCAAGATTTCCAAATGCTAAGAAACGTGGTTCATGTTGGCAGCAACCATCCAAACCCTATTTTTTTTTTTTAGAGGACCTGTTCTGCAGGGAAGCAGGGGGTTGCCATTGCTGTCTTTCTGAAAATACTAGGTGCCTGGCTATGTCTTAACTCTTCATCTGCATTCTTGGTCTAGGTCAGTAACTCTGCAAGTATTAAAACCTTTAGACAAACGTAAAAACCAGGCAGCTAGCATTTTCAGAAGGAAAGGTCACCAATGAAACTTACATATTCTCTTGGTCTGTTTCTGTGAAACAGTTTTTTTTCTATTTATACATTTTTTTTTTTATTTATTTGTTTTACCTGTATCTTTGCAGCTTCCTACATGTATATAAAAAAGTTGTCGTCAAATTTTTTTCCAGGATCAGACATGATGGAAACCCAGGAAGATATATACATTGGGTCCATTGAGACAGACCGCGGTGTACGGGAGCAGGTTCGCTTTTATGACACGCGAGGATTGAGAGATGGGTCTGAGCTCCCCAAACATTGCTTCTCAGGGACCGATGGCTATGTGCTGGTGTGTACAGTGTGGACAATAAGGACTCCTTCAAAAGGGTAGAAGCTCTGAAGAAGGAGATCGACAGATGCAAGGATAAGAAGGAGGTATCATACCTGTGATCACTGATTGCATTTATGCTGTAACTATCTCCTAATGATATTTTGAGAAAGGAACCAATAATACTACTTAAAATGCAGTCTGACTGTTTATTGTGAACCAATTGTATTGGTAGGGTTACATACACCTTACAATCTGGCTTCTGTTCATAAGCTACTGACCTGGAAGTCCTCTGCATGCCCCTTCCGGGTCAGTGGCTCAGCAGAACAGCCAGACAGCTAGAATTTCCAGAAGGAGAGGTCAGCCATTGAAGCTTTCATGTTTCTCCCATGAGAGGTTTTTATAACCAGTTTTTCTATAACAACTAATAATGCATTTATAGAAAAACACATACCTAGGGGTCAGCTTCTAGGGCGAAGAAAGAGAATAAGTCAGTTTTCACCACCAGCTTTGAAGTGATCATGTGCTTTGCCAATGAAGGGTACAGCAACATGTTCACTTTAAAAGCAGTGCTAGCAGCTGTTTATACCCATCTTCCATTTGCCGCCTAAAAACGGGTGGAACATGTAACATGTTCCCAAAGGTGAACTTCTATTTTAACATATATGTGAACCCCCACCTTGTAAAACAACCCATTCAGTTTAAAATAGAAATGAAAGGTAAAACACGTGTGTGTACATATCCCCCCCCCCCCTTTTTTTTGTCATTACATATCTTCCGTTCTCAGCTGCATAAGGAGCTCAGAGAGCTAGAAGAGGAGAGACAGCAGTAGACTGGTCTTACCTGTGAATGGCTTTGTGGAGCGGTTGGCGCATGTCAGTAACATGTCATTGGAGGAGAACAGGTTCCAAGCATACCTGGAAAACTAAGCACACTCTGCTCTCATACCTAGTGTAGTCAGTTTTTAATAAGAAAGCAGAGGGACTGGCAGGAACACCAGGGATTTCACACAAAGGAAGCAATACAATTAGAACAGGATACTTTTTCATACAAGTATGTGGTACACCAGGCATATGTCGGAATATGAAATGTTGGCTTTACATATTCTTTAATAGCGTATGTTATAACCGTTCATGTTGAAGTTCAGCTTTATTACAGCACAACACTATAATGATTTTTTTTTTTTTTTTAGTTTTACACCCTGTTCCAAATTATTATGCAAATTATATTTTTCTCATTTACCTAAATAATTGATGTAAATAACAGTCAGCATAATTCTCATGTTATCAACTATTAAGAGTACAATTCACATTTTATTGAACAAACCTCCTAATGATAACAGTATTTTTTTTAAACATAAAAAACTTACAATGCACTGTTCCAAATTATTACGCACAGTAAGTTTCAAAACACTTTATAGGTTGTAAAGAACTGAAAATTGTCATTTGTTGTGTTTGCAGCATATTTACTGAAATCAAAAGCTATTTCAATCAAACTTTTAACAACATTTTAACTTTTTAAACATTTTAACAGGTCACGTTACATTTTAACATAGGACCCCTTATTTGATAGCAGCTTCACAAGTCTTGCATCCATTGAACTTGTGAGTTTTTGGACAGTTTCTGCTTGAATTTGTTTGCAAGATGTCAGAATAGCCTCCCAGAGCTGCTGTTTGGATGTAAACTGCCTCCCACCCTCATAGAGCTTTTTCTTGAGGATGCTCCAAAGGTTCTCAATAGGGTTGAGGTCAGGGGAGGATGGAGGCTACACCATGACTTTCTCTCCTTTTATCCCCATAGCAGCCATTGATTCAGAGGTATTCTTTGCAGCATGAGATGGTGCATTGTCATGCATGAAGATGATTTTATTACGGAAAGCATAGTTCTTCCTTCTGTACCAGGGAAGAAAGTGGTCAGTCATAAACGCCACATACTTTGCAGAGGTCATCTTTACACCTTCGGGGACCCTAAAGGGACCGACCAGCTCTGTTCCCATGATTCCAGCCCAAAACATGACTCCACCATCGCCTTGCTGACGTCGCAGCCTTGTTGGAACAGGGTGGCCATCCACCAACCATCCACTACTCCATCCATCTGGACCATCCAGGGTTGCACGGCTCTTATCAGTGAACAGGACTGTTTGAAAATTAGTCTTCATGTATTTTTCTGCCCAATGCAGCCGTTTCTGCTCGTGAGCATTGGTTATTGGCGGCCGAATAGAAGGTTTATGCACAGTTGCAAGACTCTGGAGGACTCTACACCTTGATGTCCGTGGGACTCCAGAGGCACCAGCAGCTTCAAATATCTGTTTGCTGCTATGTAATGGTATTTTAGCAGCTGTTCTGTTGATCCGATGCGTGGATCTGGCAGAAATCTTCCTCAATGTGCCTTTATCTGCACGAACCCGTCTGTGCTCTGAATCAGCCACAAATCTCTTAAAAGTGCAATGATCATGCTTAAGTTTTCGTGAAATATCTAATGTTTTCATACCTCGTCCAAGGCATTGAACTATTTCACTCTTTTCGGCAGCAGAGAGATCCTTTTTCTTCCCCATATTTCTTGAAAATGGTGCTCTGCTTAATAATGTGGAACACCCTCCTTTAGTAGTTTTTCCTTAAATTGGGCTCACCGGCCAATCTAATTATCACAGGTGTCCGAGATTGTTTTCAGTGATCAAAAGAGCCCTGACACACAATGCCATCCATGAGTTAAACTGAAAAACAAAATATTTCATCTTTGTGACACTTAAATAGAATTTGCATAATAATTTGGAACAGGGTGTAGTCTGCACTAAATGTGTGAAATAATAAGTATGTTACCACTAAATACTTTTGAACAGTAAAGACATTTAGCCTGTCTGTTTTGTTGTACAACATCATCTTGTCATTTCACCTGTGAAAGCATAATTTACATGCTTTTTCATGTCCTCTCCAGGTCACCATTGTGGTTTTGGGGAACAAGTGTGATCTTCAGGAGCAGAGAAGGGTGGACCATGACGCAGCTCAGCAGTGGGCCAAGGGCGAGAGGTGAAATTGTGGGAGGTCTCAGTGAGTGAGAGGCGCACCCTGATTGAACCATTTGTGTTCTTAGCTAGCAAAATGACACAGCCCCAGAACAAGTCTGCCTTCCCACTCAGCCGGCGGAACAAAGGCAGCGGCTCTCTGGACAGCTAGAGTGGTGTGGCTTCCACTAAGTGTTGTTATCCTGACTGGTGAGCATGATCACTGCATGTAGCTCTCTATTACACTTCCAGGCTTCTGCCCACTCTAATAACTGGCTCACCAAGGATTCAGCTCACACAGCACCCATCCAGGCAGCTGCATTTACTTGAGTGTGACTATACATGGTGCCTTTCCATATGTAACTCCACATATATTGATATTGTTATGTATTGAGGGAGTGCAGCGGCCTAGTAGTTTAAGAGGCTGTTGGTGTAAGGCCCAAAGCCCAGTCTGTGTTCTGGACGTTGACATTAGGAAACTATGAGCTTAAACCCATCTTTCACAAAAGACTTGTTTTATATTTAGGACATGTCACTCCTGTTTGTTTTATAGAAATTATTTTACATAGAATTTAATATTTATGTAAATAGCGTGCTTGATGATCACTAGAAGGTAATTTTAATGTACAAATATATTTGAAAGGCATATTTAACAAGCCGATCTGCTTATGATGCTAACTGGTTTTATTCACAAATACAGATTTCCCCCGCATGCAGTGCCACCTGCCAGTGGAATTTAGTACTACAGCACAGCCATAAAGATAACTACCAATACTGTGCTTTAATATTTATATGTGGATGTAATGGGGGGGACTTCTCTATTCTACTATAATTAAGGGAATTGATGGAAAGATGGAAAGTTTTTACTTATTTCACCTGATCCTCACGTTTCACCACTACTGAATTTAAATGTTCACATAACTAGAACAAAACCATTTTTGATCCTATTTAATGAACACTCCCTTGCATCAATAATGACTTAAAAATATTAACAGAAGTGCAGTCCACATCATCCTAATAAGATATCTGTACTAAAGAGGACAGGTAGAGGAGAAGGAACTAATCAGCTTCAAATATGTAGTCAAAGTGCAAATAATTCAGTAAAAAAAGGAATTTCCCAGCTCAGAATGATGGACTGCCCTTACCATCAACACTATTTAGTAATTGGTGACTGAAAAAAAAATAATAGACTTTCTGTTTTAGTCATATTAGTATTATCCAGGATTTAGGGTGTTTCTCGTAACTTTGCATTTGAGACTTTCTCTTATGGCACTTTAATGCACTCTTAGTAGTTAGTGTGATGTCCAACAAGTCACAGGAAAGCAACTGTCAGCTGACAACTTTTCTTTCATTTTACGTCTGAAAGTTAGAGTTAGAACCCCTATCAGGGTTTTATTCACTTCCTGCCCTGATATCAGTGTTTTACCAGACAGGAAGTAATGGTAATTCTTCAATAGCCATGCAGACAGGAAAAATGAAAAAAAAGGTAAAAAAAAACTTTTGAGTGCAGCAGCTCCCCCAATCCTTACCTGAGCCCCCTCCGATCCAGCAATGTTCATAATAGCCTCTGCTGTATGGGGACTCTCCCTCCTCATTGGCTGAGACAGCAGAAAGAGCCCTTTGGCTCCTGTTGCTATCCATTACAGCCAATGAGGAGGGATTGGGGGGGCCCGAGCGGTGGCCCTATGCGTCTTATAGACACATAGAGCAGCAACTTGGAAGCAGGCATGTAAGGGTGCCCCCAGCTCAAGCAGCTTTCCCTGGGGGCACTGCTCGAGGGGAAGGAGCCAAAACGCCAGCGGGGGACCCAAAAGAAGATCAGGGCAGCTGTGTGCAAAACTACTGCACAGAGCAGGTAAGTATGACGTGCTGTTTTATTAAAAACACTCAAAGCTTTAGTATCACTTTAAGTTGTCTCCTGCCACATAACACTCAAGTCAAAATGTTAGGCTCAGACAAATTAAAGTAAATTACCGGGCACTAATCACTATTTTGTTAGGTTGGCCTGCATTTTATTAATAATTTAGGACTAAATGGTTAGATGCTGCCACAAGCTCAGTTGTGAGTGCTTCACATATGTCTCCAAACAAGAGATCTCTCTGAGCCTGCAGATGGAAGCTGCTATTCTCTCAATGAAAAATATCTTGAGAATTTCTGCAGTTTGCTTAACTGTGATCAGGCCACCCATATGTGTGTATCATGTCTACTTATAAACCAACAAGGTCATGGTGAAATATAAAAGAAAGGGCAGTGGAGATTGAACCTTCAATTTTCCAAAGGAAGATATGAAAGCAGCAAGATCTTCACTTTACTTTATCAAGTCACAGAGAGGAGAAATTAACCCAGGTATTGTAGTATAAATTCCCATTGTTTTTTCCCTATATATAATTGAATTCCAAAAGCATTTGTGCACAATTGCCAACATTCCAGTCTATAGTGTATCGTAGAAAATATACCTCCTTTCACTTATTGTACATATTACCCAATACCTGTTACTGCACAGACCAGTATGAGGTGAATTAACATTTCATTTTCTATCATCTATTAATGATAATCCCATTCTATGTGATGAGAATACATAGGCAGAGGCACAATTTACAGCTTTAGATGTGCCCAAGACAAACAGGCTGCCCAAGCATTGGTTTAAGACACTAGTAAGCCCAGCGTAAACATCTTATAAGAACTCTTCTCAACTTTTTCATTCCCCAAAACAAGAATTCCAGTTATTATAGAGAGAATACAAAATACTTTGTTAGATTTGCAGCTGCACATAAGTCTAATCTTTATGTCTCAGTACAAAAAATATATACAGTATGTTAAGCTGGGCATAGATAGCTTGAATTTCAGTCAAATAAAGCTGAATTGGCCAAAATTTGAGCCGAAGGTGGCCCCGCAAGCACCACCTGGCTCCAAAAAGTTTGATTTAAAAATCCACTTCCAGGTGGAAAACTATATCAGCCAGACAGAGACTGCAACATATCAGATGCATTCACTGTTCAGCAGCACAGTTGTATTCAGTCAGCCATGGATGCTGCGGCTGTCTGAATACAATGGAGATTTCACCCACCTCCTCCTTCCACACTGTTATTGTGAATGGGGGAATGAAGTGATTTTCTGTCTGTCTTGCAGGCTGAACAGACAAAATTCAAGCAATCTATGCCCAACCTTAAGCTGACCATACACTAATAGGATTTTGTTATAAAATCAAACAACTGTTCTTAAAAAGAAAATTGTTAAATCATTAGTGAGGTCAAATCAGGGTTTGTATTGGACTGTAGTGATGAGAAAATGATAGAAATTAATTTCTAGAACAAATTAATTTCTGACAGTGTATGTTTTTTTGTTTGGGAAAGTACATTGAGTCCCAAAATTAAATGTTTAAAGAAAACCATTTCAAATAACATACATCATGTCATGGAATGAATTGATGGTAATTTTCATATAAAAATCTACTAGTGTATGGCCATCTTGAAGCTTAATTCAATGTTTCATTTAACTGTAAATAATTTAAAGCTGGTCCAAAGAAACAGTTTCCTTCACCAACACATGCATCTGCTGTCAGTGCTGTAGCAGTATACAGCGCTGTGTTCCAGCAGTGGGAGGGTTGCGTCTCAATCCGTTTTTGGTACACAATCGTGTCTAACTGAGCACAATAAGCTTTGTATTTTATGAACGAACACAAGGATTCCTCTGTTTGGCTGAGGAGGGGGGATTGGGATGTCATCTGCCTACCTTTCCACTTACCTCTCCACTTCAACCAATCAGAGGAAGCCCGATGAGAAGTCCCCATCCCGTTGCCAGAGAACAGTGCTGTATGTAGCTAATGCTATATACAGTTTATAAAGCTCTTCCAGCAGAAGCATGTATTAAGGAAGAAAATAGTTTGTTTGGACCATCTTGGTTGAAGTTTTCTCCCATTCAGACCTCGGAGCAGGACCTGCCACACTGAGTTGTCATGTGATCAAATGCAGAGAGCTGCAGAGGGTGACAGAATGAAAAACTGAAATGTGTTGCACTTATTTTGGAAATGGAATGATAAAGATTATTTATAATGTTATTTTATTTAGGTAAGTCCATTTCTTTTTCACAGAGCATCCATCATGTCGTTTGCTCATAACTACTTTGTCATTTATATTTTAAACCTTACAATTGCCCATTTTTAGCCTATATATGTGAAAAGGTATGCTATGTCAGGTTCTTTAACAGCCACCTTTCACCATGGCCATCAATCAGTGGGCACACTCTGTGTGGGAAACCGTCTCTAGACCACAGGCTATGTTATAACCATTAGGTTTTACCAGGTTAAAATTGTTTTTTTTTAAATGTCCACGCAATCTAATTCTGTTATGTTAGAAACGCTTCAGCCCTTTATTGTGAAAAAATGTTAGTTTGTATGGCATTCCAGTATTTATTCCCACCAGGTACATGTAAAAAAAATGTGAATTTACATATTACATTGTGATCACTGCCATTATAAAGCGGAGTATGTGCACACTGAAAAATATAATCTGGGTTCCTATGATTCACTACTATTTTTCCCCATTTGCTGTGTAAATAGAAGGATTGGAACACACTATTTTTAAAAGGAGTCCATCCAAATGTGGTATTTCAGAATTTTGGTTGTCTTACTTGTTAATTGGCTTCTTATATCTATTTGCTCTTATATCTCTTTGCAGCTGCATTATCAGTAACGTCAAATAAATTAAAACTGTAATAAGGAGCGCAAGATTTCCATAGAACAGCCAGAGCCATGGTCAACCTTATGAGTAAACTGGTCCATGCAGACAAGGTCCCCAGTGTATTACAATGCACTGTGCCTTTTTGAAATGTGATTGGCACACCTGTAAGCCTCTGCTGTCATCCCTGAATGCTGCTCTATATACTCCCATACTGGTTACCTTTGCTTGTCCCTAATGGCTTTTGGGACACAGCAGCAATTAGATGCTTGTTCTCAGCATCATGGCAAGATTCTCCTTTTCAAAAGTGGCATATGCGCAGTCCACACTTTCCTTTCCCATCCCAGCAAGGCTGAGCCTCCTGGTAGTATGCAGTGTACCTTCGCCAGAAAAAGTGCGTGCACAGCACACGTACCATTTTGTGGCACGTGCGCAAAAAATAGTAGTTCTTACTTACCAAAGCTACCACCACACACTGGGGTTGATTTACTAAGAC